AGTCAGACGCCAGATGTTGGAGTTGTTGGTGGATCATATCGTAACCTCTCTGGTCACTGGAAAGCGGGCTACATGCAAACTACACTGAAAAACTTTGTTGTGGAATACCAGGAAGGCTATTATCACTCCAAAAATGGGTGTATGATCTGTAATTATCTGCAGGGTCCTTTCGTAACCAAGACAAATCTCTTGAAGTTTGACGAGAGTCTCCCAAATGAAGCGGTTTTTGAAGACTGGTTTCTGCGTGTTGTTGAAGATGGTAAACTGATAATGACATGTCCAGATGCTATGTATTTCACTACAGACTACACTGCATATCCCAAAACAACTGACAGAAAAGTGTGGACTCCTTTGGCTAAAAAGTGGGAGCTTAACCGGGTTTTACTTCCCCATGGCATCAAACAGTCATTTTCTTGTCAGGATATTGGTTTCACATGCAATGCCCATAGCGAGTTACTCCCAGTCTGCTGTCAGGAGGAATATGCCGATGCGTTGACTTTTTTCCAGAAGTTTACTGATGAACACAATGTTACATTTGAGATTGACACTGGTTCTACGTTAGGTGGTGTTAAGTTCAATGACCTTCTCCCATGGGATTTGGATGGTGATTTCATTGTTTTGTCCACAGATATTGATATCTTTCACAAAAGTGAAACAATCGAGTATTTCCAAAAAAATGGTTACGCCCTAAGTGGTTATACACCACCTAAGTATAACTCCCAAATGGGAAAACTTGTAAATGGGTATTTCAAAGTTGTTTTCAATGGATTTTACATCGACGTTTGGGGGATGTGGGATGTGACAAATACTCAATATCTTCCACCGGAGCTACGAAGGAAAGAAACTTTCACCAAGGCAAACATAAGAGGTAATTGGATTTACACAGCATTCAGTCCTGGTTTGTTTGCAAGGAACCGGTATGGAAGAGAAATCCTAAAACATTCGCAGTCATGGATCAAAACAGGATTAGCAAACAGTTATGCTGACGAGAAACCTGGCAAGTTTCAGCCTTGTCAGAAACCAAAACATCATGCATGCTTGCAGAATTTCCCAGGTGATGGTGACCTTCCAATTTTGGTCGACTAGCAAAGCTTTCAGTCAGAAGGGCAAGACCTGCGCCCATGAGCATGCAGCGCTGCTTCACTACATGTTATAACATCTTGCATTATAACAGTCAACAGCAAGTGCACCATGCACTGGGCATGTGGGAAGTAACTTCTGATGTTTACAGTAACATAACTAAAATAGTGACTGGCTGGAAAAGAAGCATAGAGAATAAACCACACATGTTTGTGTGGTTGGTCCAGACTATTTATAGGAAGGTCAAAGAGGTTGCCATGTTTGGTTTAGAACTTGGACAGTTGCAATGCAAGAAATG